GGCTTAGCAGTGACCTGGCTGACTCGTGCGGTTTGAGTAAGTTTGTCGTGACGCCGCCCTGTTCCTCACGGCGCTGGGGTTGAAGCTCTCTCCCCTGTAACAGGAGACACCCTGACCCTGGACATTCCCATCAGCGGGCTGAGGAGTGAGGAGAAAAGAACATTCTAATAACGATAGACCAAGAAAATAATTAGCACACCGGCTTTAATCAGCTGTGCCCACCCCTGTCATGCCGCACATTCCGGAACTTTCTCAAAAACCTGGAACAGGAGGTGGATCTTTACCCAAAGAGTTGTGGGAGTCTGGAACAAAGCTACCCAGCCATGTTGGTGAGGCCGATACCTGGCTTCTCTCAAGACACAGCTGGATCCTGGGATCAATTAGCTGCTAACCCCCAAAGCGATGTAGATGAGCAGAACGATCTCTCCTCATTTATAACCTCTCCCGTGTCAATTAGTAAATAGCTCCTTTTATGTAGTTTTCGACAGCTCTTTTTGTAGGAAGCCATCTCAGCGCTACGAACAGCAGTAGTCTGCGTGTGTGGGGGACAGGGTTAGATGGGTGAAGTCTCTGGGAGGCTCTGGGGACACAGCCGATTCTGGCCTCGGCGGGGGGGGCTGTGCTGGAGCAGATCGGAGCCCTGAAAGGCGAGAGACGCAGGTATCGTGACTCGGACTGGGCTGTCTCCTGCTGCGGTCTGTCTCATCCAGCTGTGGGACTGAATTGACCGGGTTGCTAAGCCACCCCCGAGCTGGCTGTGGTGCACAAATCCTGTATTTTTGATACCCATTTATTTGGTCACCCCTGCTTTGCAGGGTGAATAAGTTTAATGCTGAATGAAGGTAATGTTATTATTGCTGTCATTAATGTTCAGGCTAGAGTCATGTCAGCTCTGTTCTTGTCGATTTCTAAAGACTTGCTCCACATCGATGCTAGAAGTCCGACAGTTCGCCAAAAACCACTTTCTGTGCAGGTTGTGCCACGGGCTCCTAAGGTGGTTCCCCAGTTCCATGGATGTGTCTTTAACCCAAAAAAAAAAAGCGTGCCTGTACACAAAGGGTTGTGGGGGTATGGAGCAAGATTTCCCACATGGGGTTGACCCTCCCGGTATCCGGACTGGATAAGATCCTCCAGTCCATTGGCTACAAGATGGCAAGCGAGCTGTATCGATCGATCAGCCTGCACTCCTTCGCTAGCATGTTGCTCTAAGGTTCTCCATGAGATTGGTGTTTCGGTCTGCTTCTGACCAGACAGGAGTAAGAGACAAACCAAGAAAAAGCGGCCTTATTTTTTTTGGGGGGGGGGTTTGCGTAATTAAATACCACCCCCCCCTTGTCCATTATAGGTAAAGAGGCAAAAACGAAAGTTTTTTTTTCCCTCTTTTTGTAAAAAAAAACGGGTTATGGTTACTGCCACTGCTATACAGGTGCCAAGTTCGAGATCACTCGGTTGTGAAGGGCATTTTTCTTCTTGTTCAGGCCTGTTGAAGGGGATACACCACATGAGAAACGCATTAAGTTGTGCAGCAGATCCACGTGTGAAATTCTATAATGGGGAAAAACTCGTCTGTCCTGCTGGCTTCTTCACCACCGAGGAAAAAAATACCTGCATTTGGACTCCTATCCACTAGATGGTGCTACTTAGACATGTAGCCCATCATAATACCAAAGTACAAGCACTATCCTAAAACAAAATTCTCCCCGACCTCCGAAATACAGAAATTTGTATGCTTGGCTACTAAGTGACATTTCTGTCCGCTGTAATCCTCTCCTGTTAACACGTAGAGCTTGTGCCTATATTCATATATATATATCAGTCTTTCAACATGTACAGCTATATAGAATTGTACTAAAAACTATGTAAAATCTGATTTTTGTATTTTTTTCCTGGTACAGGAGCATGGAGTTGAAATCCTATGTGCTGGTTATAAAAATGATCTTTAAAAATATACATATGAATTACTCGCTTGTCCTTGTACACTTTATTTTAACGAATGAGATTTGGTTAGATTTATGTAACCGTTTTTCAGAGCTTCTGTTTGCTGTTAAATCTGCTGTCTTCTGAGTGAACTCAGTTTACCTAGGTAAATTACATTGCATGGTGCGGTATTTCGTTTTCCATGTTCTCCTCTGGTTTTACCTGGCTTTTACCACAATTTCATGGCACTTTACTATACTTTTTTCTGATTGTTTCAGGGGGAGGGGTATGGTTCAGTTCCCGGCTGAATCTCGGAGCTCGTACTGGGACCTGAGCTATTTCTAATCACACCTTGGAAAAAAATCAGAATATAAGATCTCTCCTGCATGCTGGTGGTTCAAAGTGTTGGTTCCGGAGGAGCATTCCATCTGTTTAGTTCTAGTCGAGACTGAAATTGCAGGCAAATTGATTTCAGTTTCCTATTTTAAGTGTTCTAAACTTTTCTTTCAGCTGCATATCTGAATAGACGTTTTAAACGTCTGCAGCAGGTGTCAGCGTTGCACCAGTGACCACATCCCAGTACCCCCCCCCTTCGGTGTGTCAGCTGAAACTAATCGGTCTCAAGTAGAAGAAAAAAAGTTTTTCATTCCCACCTGTCTGCTAGGCGTTTCCTTCTCTTTTGGTCAAAACTAAATTTTGCATAAATTCTCCAGTAGCAAGTTGACGAGACACTGCATCAGGTTCTGGCTGAGCCAGACAGCAGCTCGGTTGTGGTCATCAGTTAGCGCTGGCGATTGGGGGCCCAGCTGGATGGGGGGGTCCCCAGGACCAGGAGTGAGACCCCCCCCCCCCCTGCACATGCCAGCAAGCTCCTCCCCTCCTCCGGGGTTCATCCGGGAGCCCTGACATCTCGGCCTCCTGGTTTTTCTTTTTTTCCCCCATTTTGTTGTTTACTGCTTCTTCACCATGAAGGTGGTGGAGTGCGGGGAGGGAGAGAGGAATAGTTTTCGACGGGGATTCAACGCGAAACGGAGAAAGGTGGTGGCGAAATCATTCGGCCCGGGCGGAGAGAACTCCGCGCTGGGCACCGCTGACGAGACGCGCAGCTTTTTGGGAACGCGGCCCGGAGCTGCTGTATCGCGTCGGTGGTGTTTGGGGGGTGGGAATAAAGGGAAGAGGTTGTGTGGAGTTGGGTGAAAGTCGAGGAGGAAAACTTTGGAGACGGTAGCGGATTTAGCGAGTCGGATTCATGGCTTAGATTCCAAGAATACCGGCAAGAGTGCGTTCGCAGTTTACTGAGCTCGTCCGCCCATTAGTCCGAAGAGGGAAAGAGCTTGGCAGGTAAACGGAGGCAGGCGTCCAGACCTCTGTGGTGGGCACTGGGATGGGGAACCTACCCCAAGGGCTGGCTGGGACCTGCAGTGTGAGCGCAGGGCCAGACGTACACGCTGGAGACTGGTGGGGGAATTCTTGTTCACCCATTCCGCCTGGCAGGTGGAGGCTCTCCTGTCTCTCCTCTCAAGCTACGCTCGCGTGGAGCAAATGGTTTTGCTCTCCGTGGAAAAACGCAACGATAAGCTTCCAATAAAACGCTTGCCTTCTTGCGGTGTTTATTTCTAAGGCTAAGGACAGGTGCGGGCGAACTGCTTTTAGTGTTTTCGCAGAATCCATGCGCGGTGTTTTGCACTGCATGCACGGTGCAGATCCTTAACAGAAGCAACTAGGGATTGTTCCTGGTTTTTTCCCTCCTGCTCACTAACCCTAGGAGAAGGAGTGGCTTCTTAAACCCAGGGCGTAGCACAGGCGTAGGATTAGGAGGATAAGCTTGTGGGCCTTCCATAGCTAATGCTCACAGCCCGTAGCACGATCTACAGCCGACATCTCTGACCTGCTTCCTGCAGTTATTACTGCACCTAGTGTTTCAGTCCTAAAGCACCCTGACTCAGAAGAGGCCTTGCCAGCGACCAGCCAAAAGGCTTTAGTTGGGAAAAGGGCAGTTTCCCAGTTTAATTGGCGCGCGATCGGGCTCGTTTCCTTAGGGAACGTCTCTGGCAGAAGCGCGCTTTTGATTTTGGCCTTCCGATCCAGTGTGGTGCGTGCTCAGCAAGAAGTCCAGTCCAGTTCCCGGTCGTGACCTGGGCAGCGTCCCGTCCTCTGTCCTCATGGCCGCATGCTTTGGCTGTCCCCGAAGCCCCCACCCCCTTCTCCCAGGCGTCCAAGGCGGGGGCTGCTGGGAGTGCTGACAGGTCGCACGCTGCCTAAAGGATGGGTTCTAAAATCTGTCCCGGGTGCAGTTTTTTTTAGATTGCAGACTGGGAAGCTCATTCATGCAACAGATTCGAGTGACCTGGTCAGCCCTGTGACTCCAGTAGCCATCGCGCACTGCGACTGGCAGGTGTGTCGGACCGGGGCTGGCGAGCCGGCACCTCCAGGTCTCTCATGCAGTTGGCACCTGTAACCCCCCCCCACCCCTGACCCCCCCTGCAGAGCATGAGC